TGCTGTCTAGAACATACGGTGAAGTGATGTTATTGTTTTGTGGTTAGAAATTGTCATAATTTCTTTCTATTCAACATGTTTATTCACTTCACTTTAATTTTTCATTAACAAATTTATTTAACTGCTTTCGAACTTGATTGACATATTATATTTACGCCCATCTTCAATTAATTTAAAGTTTCCCTGATTCTAAAGGTCATGAAAGTTAAAATCGTTCCATAGCATTCGTCACATTCTTTTTACTATCATACAGCCCACTGAATATTGAACCTTATAACAACCGTCGTAAAATAGATAATTAATGGAAGTTCAAACGACAAAAAGTCGCCCATTTCAAGAAATATTATGTTGACAGTGTAATTTTTTACATGTTTTACTTGTTTATTATTAATGTATATTATTAAATTACAAAACAAGAATGTTGTATTTGTTTATTACTTAATAAAAAATGTTGCTGCCATCGTATTACCGCTATACCGCATGATATTTCCCGATTCGACTATGAGGTTTATTGTCATATCTATTAATTATTATGATTTAAAGAACTTTAAACTTAACATGTGGTATATAATTAATTATTAGATATAAATATTGAATATAAAACAACATATTTGTATAATAAATAAATTAATTGTAATAAAAAATAGTATTGTTTTATTTACCAGCTCATTTGCTTCTTTTATAGCCTGATATTTATATTTTATGACAAAAAACAAAAAAAAAATTAAGAAAAATAACAAGGTAAAATAAAATTAACTTTTAGCTGGAATAGAACCCACATCATTGATCCTTGAAAGACGATAAAAGCGTGCTCATTAACCAATCGACCACGAGCACTACGATAATGACAGTGAAAATGTCGGGTCATATCAATGATTGTAAATAGTTTTAACCTTACCTATGCATTAAATTATAAAAATACGTATACCGACACAAGAATGAAAATACCAATGTGAACGTGGTGGACGAATATTTTTATATACAGTTATATGAAATTACGCACACATGTACACTGTGTAAATGACAGTTGTGTCGATGTGTAGCGCTGCAACTAATTAGCGGTGCTTTGTGTACATATTATATTATTAAATTATATACTGAATAATATTTAGCAAGCAATGTTGTACCGTACCGTATTATGCATTTTTTGTTAATTTGTTTTGTGCAATTTTTCCAACTCAAAAGCATTTATTTCCATTAAACCATAATTTAGTACTTTTGAACCGTCAACAAATATAAAATAAATAATAGTCTCTCAGTATGTCCGTTAGTGAAGCTAGATGCTCATTCCACAAAGTAGATTCGAATGGAGAAGAACGAGCAAGAAACTCTATTAATTACTCTTTTAAAAAATATATTTACAATGTCTCTGATATATATTCGAATATTGTACTGTATATGTAAGAACAATGTAGGTAAAGACACGCTCGACGCAAAATACAAATTACAGAACTTACGAATTAATTTTAAATGAAACATTTAATTTTGCAACAACTACTACTATTTTCTAGGTACCTTATTTGTATATCGTACAAAGTTCTAATATTATGCAACATACAACCAACCCTTTAATTACCGTTTGACGTTATCTGAACTCTCGTTTTAATACCTGGTTTGGTGGATAATCACCGATTTCAAGACAAGCGGAGCCGTGGGTAGAAATATAGCGAGAAATATGAAATGACGGAACACTATGATTTCATAGTTTAATATACAACGCAATCAACATTCGTAGAGAACAAGTTGTATATAATTTTATGTTTTAATCGCTAAGAAATAAAATATAGGAAATAGTAAATAAGAAAAACTTGGCTGAAACATAGACGTTTGAATTGATAATTACTTCACAGTTTTGCAATGATTCAGACAAGCGTGTAATCGAATATTTGGTGGTACAATTAAAAAGCTTAGTAATCATCTGGCTAAACCTAAATAATCAACTAGAGTTTGTGTTGCAACTAATTAGCGGGTCATGCAGAAATAAATTAACGCTATTAAGTGATGCTAAATGAAACCTAATAACAGGCAATCTCACAAAAAATCTCACGGTTAAATAGTGAACTAAACGTCACCATAACTTGTCTCTAATTTTTGTATTCTAGTTTTCCAAAATGATTTTAACACTTTGGATGCCGTAGCACACTAGCGAAGGATCAGCCTTTAATAATCATATGAAAATATTTCAGAAAGACTATAATAAATATGCATTTTATCTGAAATATACCTAGGTGTGTAGGCGTCCGGTATGCCAACCCGCATTAAGCAAGCGTGGTGATTAATGCTTAAACCTTATCCTTGCGAGAAGAGACCCTTGGTCAGCAGTGGCCACTTATAGGCTGTTAATTATGATGATGAAGAGTAGGTATCTACGGCATTATCAATAAAAACACAATAACAAAGAACGCGGTCGACACCTCATATGTAAATAAACAACAAAACACTCCATTACACACAACATACATCTTTTTGGACAGTAAAACATGGCCTTGCCCAACAATTATTGTAATTTCCACGTTTTTTGTGAACACCGCGCCTCATAAACCGACATGGTTAACGACGTATATAAAGGGGCTAAACAAACGAGTGGAACGATCGATGATTGATTTATTTCACAAACTTCACATACATATTGTTCTATCAACGAGTAGGTTGCACTACACGCTATTTTTTTTCTTTCTCTTCATGCACAGTTGCCAAGTGGGTCGCTAATTGAAAATTGTGTGGGTAAGCTTACGACCTTTTATGCTTAATGGCATGTTATCAATCAATTTCCACCTACGATTTTGTACACGCGATTTTCTATCTTAAGATCGTTTAATACGTTTACTTTTAAGGAGTGAATATTCTTATAACTATAATCTACACTTTATTATATATTTATTTTACTAAACAAGTCTGCCTTAAGGCTGTAATCAAAACGATAACTCGCTTTCTTACATAATTCTACGAAGATAAAATACCAAGCAACGAAAATATCTAACACAATCTATTATGGGAACTGTCAGCGCTACCATTAGCACACAAGTAGCCAGTACAATTTATCTACTGCGGTCAGAACAAACTTACTTCCACCGTCGTATTATATCATCTCATTTCTAACGTACTATTAAAATACCGCCACTTTTAATACACAAATAAAGAAACTATGAAACTATATTATATTCATATTCGTATGCACATCACACGACTAAATAATTAAGCCTCATTTAAAACCATTACTTTGAAAGCGTGATATCATCTGAAGAGGCACTCTATCAAGCTACATACGTCTATCAGTACAAAAAAATCTACGTAGGTAAGTAAAAAACATAACTGCGGTTACATGCGCTTTGTAATACTATCATTTAACCAAACACATAAAGTGTAATCGCGTAACGGTACAGTAATAGTACTAATAATCCGGTGAACAGATTTGCTCACGAAGCTATTAGATGTACGGAACGAGTCATCGCCAAAGCGAATCGCAAACAACTTGATTGAATGCAAACACGTTTCTTTGAACAGCCATTGAGTTGCACCAATGTTCCAATGCAAATCTTGTAGCCAATACACTAAAGCTTGGAAACAAAAACTTTGTTGAATCATAATTAATATTTTGTATTGATATTCACCATACGTTATATACATTCTAAGTTTTTACCAATAATTTTGACATTTTATAATTTTGACTCTGTGTCTAAGTTCGAAATCGATTCCAGGAACCTAAACAATCGCAATCACTAGGTCAACGAGGCGTTTAGCTTCAGTATATTATACGTTCATTAAAATATAATAGACATTATTTAAATTCCAACCCACATTTTCATGTGGTGATTTCATTATAACTTGCTTCATTATTTTACCTCGATAAACTCAAAATTTTGCAAGTTACTAACTGACCTAATAAATCGTTTCTTAATCAATTTCGCACTGAAACGAATTTGTAAAGTAGAATCCGAAAAAAAATAAAATCGATTTTCAAAATACAATATTACTCAAAACATGGACATTTCTCTAAAAATTATTTGCGATTATATTCAAAAACGACGTGAATCAGAACAAACAACACACACGTAGGTATGAAATTACAGGTGTTTTAGTAACTAGACTAAAGTAGCATATTATAGATTAGTCATGTGCAATTTTTCCGTAATGGTTCCGTAATCATCTTTAAACATTTCCGCGAGTGGTGTGTTTTTACGCATTATACAGTACGCTACATCCAGTGTTTAAGGCGAAAAGAGAAATCCTCGGGGGCTGATTGCGAACCACAAGTCGACCGCACTAAATTAATCTCTGATTAGATAGCAACAATTTATGCTCCTTATAAATAAGCAATAAACTAGATCTAAGTAGCGGCAACGAACCTATTGGGTGGCATATTTATGCAACTAATGAGCGGGTTTTGTGGTCCGCACTTACTGAATTCTGATTGCTTACTTTCAAAAGGTGTGAACCGCATGATATCAATTTGCTGAACCGTAATAAGCTTGATGCTATAATGTTCTCTTTTTATGCGAACAAAGTTTGTGAGTAAGATCGAAATCATTGATGCATCTACATAGTATTTCTAACTTAAACGTTTTAACATAAAATTTATAAAAAAAAACTTATAAATGCTTTAATGAATGTAATCAGGTGTTAATAAACATCAATACAGCTTTTAATTACCTATGCAATACGAGAAGTAATCTCCACGAGCATTGCTACAAACAACACGATCCATCGATTTAGAAAACGAAACACGCGACTCGTAATTCGAAATAATAACCCTTCTGATAACCCGCCTGTAATCGCCGGCGCCGTAACGAATCGCCAACCAATGTTAGTGTTTACCAATAAGGAAATAAAAGTATAAGTCACCTCAAGGCTCTTGGACCTAAACGGTTCCACAAAAAACTAGCAAGTTCGTTCAACACATTGTTATATGTTCCGCAACCAGAATAAAATTGAACAGTTTTTGTTGCATATCTACAAGTTAATAGTTTATAATAGTCGGTTGCAAAACGTAAACGCGAACAATGCGTGGTTCGCAAGCTATTCGTGGAGGAACCCTAAAAGGTATCATTACAGAAACCGGTATCACATCACTACAAATATTGAGCAAACATTTATAATAATGTGGTAATTGAACGATCGTATCAGACTGCGTAATGTTCAATTAATGCTTCGAGAAAACTGTAACAGTATACGAGGAAGTAAAGTCCCTTTAATTTAAGGACGCTGGACCGCACGTTACGAAAACTTCGTGACAACAAGTCTTGTAACCATTATACGAGTGCTTACTGTACAGAATTTGCATCAACGCACCTGTCGAGACCTAGTACCGACTTATCTAATAAACTTATCGTCCGCACACATTCAACTGCTGTCAGTTCTTGGGAAAATCGTTACAGATTCGCGATCATTCGTTCCACTTAAAATACCTTTGGAACGTTTGTAATTTACACGTCTTTTATCTACATTGAATATCTGTATTTATGAGTAATGTATGCCAGTCATTTATCTTGCGTTCTATGGTTTGATTTTGCGATAGCTTTACTTGCGTATTTAGGTTTTAGCGAGTAGGCTGTAAGAGATATTAGTGTAGGTTCATTGTTGCGATGTTCGTCAGTTTGGACTACTCATTTTCATACTTCACAAAATGCCTTGTATCTATTGTTATTATATTTTCTACCAACAACTTTGACCTACAAGATCCAATCTAGGACTATAATATTAAATTAATAAAAAACAAGTCAACTTGCCATCTGCACTAATTTCCATTGTGGTCACTAAAAGAAAATTATCTATAGAAATAAATTACGTTCGTATCTGTTTCAACTATTGAGTTCAAGCAAAAACTGGCTAATTTAAATGAACTTCCAAACAGACCGAGACGACCTCCACCCGTCACCTTGTACCCAACTTTCAGGCCAAGTATAGAGATGACTTCGATCACAATAAAGTAGAAGAAATTTAAATCTTATCTGAAAACTAATGCAATTAAAATAATTGTATCACTATACTAGACACTTCTGAACAAACTTCAGAACAAAGACTTAAATACATTATCTTTCTTTTACAGAAGCTATAAGCACAGCTGACGATCAATCAACATCTGCATCATGGTGGCAGGCAGGCACAGCTACACCGTTCCGCGAGAGCTCCAGCAGCGCCTTCTCGTCCACCCACGGCCTCGTGCAAACTCACCCTTCGGGCAGCGATCCATTTGCCTCCTTTGGTAGCATTGGCAGTACTTCTGGACCTTCTTCTAACCCATTCGCGTCCAGCGGCAGCGGTCCGTTAAGCGGTGGCGTTCGAAACAACCCTCTGCCATCTTTGGCGAGGAATGCCAACGGGAAACCTTCCCTGAAACATCTGGACTTCACAAGCAGTGCGACAGCTGAACTGAGGAGGAACCCAGCTCTGTCAGCCCCTGATGAGTGCGCTCGTGCTTGCCGAGAGAATGAACCACCAAGGATTTGCTACTACCACTTCACTCTTGAATTGTACACGGTTTTGGGAGCGTGAGTAGCCTTTATAATTCTTACTCGTACATTTTAACATACTTTATAATTTTTTCTGAATCATTACGTTGTTACAAATAGAACGGAAAATAATTCACGCGAGCATATAAGGAAAATTGTAGTAGATTTCCAAAGTAGCTCAATACGTACTAATGCTAATGAAGTTTGTTTCCTTTGCACCTACGGATACAAAAGAATCATTGTGTTTTTTTTAAACGGATGTAGACTTATTTGAAACCAAGGTGTAAACATTGCGATAGATCATTCAGTGACATTGGATTAGCGGTCGTCGTTCTTATTTCCAACAATAATAACAGACTCTTCGTTTCTGATTAAAGTTGCAGCACTTGCAGCTAACTGAGTCGGAAGTCTATTCAATTGTGCCTCTATAATTGCACGGATCAGACGTTTACTTTACAATCACTGTTATCGTCTTATATCACAACAGTTTAAAAAAAGGCTTAAGACTTGAGCAACTCCTTACCTCATTGTATTTCGTAAGAGCTCTGCCATCCGCGCCAAGATCCCGAGATAGACGAAAATATTTTCGAGATGCTCACGCAAAGTCGTGCGCAGGAAAAAATCGACCTAGCGACCGACTTTTCCATTTCGCACATTTTACGCTTTGTTTCACACGAACTGTTAGCGGAATCCAATTCAATGCCGTACTTAAATACAACGATCCAAATTCCGTTAGGCCACGTAATTGATAGGTGACGACAGGACTTATGCAAACAACTTTATTTCATTATAGCCTACGTATTACCCGAAGAATAGTGGTGTAAGAGATATTGATAAAGAAATAGAGCATAACTTATGTCACACATTCCAATTACAGGGCGTGTCAAGTATGTACACCAAACGCTACGAATGTGGTATGGTCGCACTGCCAATGTGTGTTGGCCGATGGTGTCGAGCGTGGAATCCTCACAGCAAACAGAATGTTGCCGGGACCGTCCATCCAAGTGTGCGAGAACGACAAAGTTGTCATCGATGTAGAAAATCACATGGAAGGTATGGAAGTGACCATTCACTGGCACGGAATCTGGCAACGAGGCTCTCAGTACTACGACGGTGTGCCATTTGTAACGCAGTGCCCTATCCAGCAAGGAAATACTTTCAGGTATGTGATTTCTAATTTTTACTACATATTTAACTTGAAACTATTAAATCACAACTTCTTATATTATACAATATTGTTCACAGATATCAATGGCAAGGTAACGCAGGTACCCACTTCTGGCACGCTCATACTGGACTTCAAAAGCTTGATGGTTTATATGGCAGTATCGTCGTACGTCAACCGCCTTCCAAAGACCCCAACAGTCATCTTTACGATTACGATTTGACTACCCACGTAATGCTACTTAGCGATTGGTTGCACGAGGATGCCGCGGAGAGGTACCCAGGTCGTCTTGCTGTCAACACTGGTCAGGATCCCGAGAACGTGCTGATTAACGGAAAGGGTCAATTCAGAGATCCCAACACTGGCTTCATGACTAACACACCCCTGGAAGTGTTCACGATCACGCCCGGCAGACGTTACAGATTCAGAATGATCAACGCTTTCGCTTCAGTGTGCCCTGCTCAAGTCACTTTCGAAGGCCACAATTTAACTGTTATTGCGACTGACGGCGAACCTGTCCATCCGGTACAAGTAAACACCATCATCTCGTTCTCAGGTTAGTATAGTACAAGGAAGCAACAAACACACATGTTTACGAGCTAGCTTTCGAACAATGGCCGTTGTAGCGCTAGACAGAAGAAGTTCCCCCACGCCTGATTGAGACACTCTTTTATGAGTGGCGACAATTTATGCAGACGGGAAGGAAAAAAACAACTTGTTGTCCAATGGAAATTTATGCGTTTTGATGATATAACTTAAAATAAGTACGTAGCTAAGATTTTATTCATAACGTTTTACATTCAAAGAAAGATCGGAATGTTAGCCGTATCAATGTAATTATCGATAATATAATCGATTGCGATTTTAATAAGACACGCCTATGTGTTGTAATACCTAGGTGTTTAATTAGCTAGTGCACTCAGTCGAGCAAAAACATTGTATAACATACACATACATGCTTCCTATTTTACAACATTCGCAAATTATCTAGATCCTAATGAAATTCATATTAAAATGTTATAACGCATGTTACAGGCGAACGATACGACTTTGTAATCGAAGCGAACAACATTCCTGGAGCTTACTGGATCCAAGTCCGAGGTCTCGGCGAGTGCGGTATTAAGAGAGCCCAACAATTAGGTATCCTCCGATACGCCAGAGGACCCTACCAGCCTTCTTCGCAACCACCTACTTACGATGTCGGCATTCCTCAAGGAGTGGTGAGTAGTAGATGCAGGTGTAATATACAGCGATACTGTAATATATTAAATACCACTTGTAGACCAGTAGATGATTGAAACTATGATTATGTAAATATTTCTACCTTTCCTCTCAGTTGGTAGTAGTATGACTAGAAGATGGAGCCACTCGTAATCATGGTGCAGTGTTCTAGTTGGTGTTCGTGGCGAGGTGCATGGAGTACGTAGCCCGTGTCACGAGACTACCCGCCTCAATTATTAAACAGCGGATATTGCATACTGAATTCTTGGTGCCGACACGACAGCCTCGATTAAACATGGTCCAAGTGTCGACTTTATACCAACTCGTTGCTCAAACATAAATACTGGTATGGAGCCGATATGAAACAATTTTCGCAGCAGTGAATAAATTAAAGCGAAAAATCAAATTATAGCTGTTGACGAATTAGACCATGTACAGTCAGGTGAAATAGTTACCGGTACCACTTACCGGTTTTGTAAATATATCAATACCAAGTTGTCTCTGTAGTCATTTTAAAATCGAGTAGATACCAATGTAACGGTTTGTGAGAAGGTGTGTGTTTGCACTTTGATTGAATTTCTGCAAGAGTGCAAATATTTTTCCATCTTTGTAGTTTAAGTAGTCATTTTAGTAGTATATAATGTATATTTGCACGTATTTCTAGTAATTGCACGAACCTTTCTCCTCACTAACTATCCAGGTGATGAACCCGTTGGACGCGAGATGTAATATAACCAGGAACGACGCTATTTGCGTCAGTCAGCTCAAGAACGCCAAGCACATTGACCCAGCTATCCTACAAGAAAGGCCTGATGTTAAAATCTTCTTGCCTTTCCGTTTCTTCGTCTATAGGCCCGAGATGTTGTTCCAGCCGAATACTTATAACAGATATTTAGGTAAGCTATTAATGTAAATACCCTTCTTGACTTATTGCGCGGAAGTATCATCCACATCAGTAACATATAATCAATGTCCGCAGTTGCTCCTGGAGGAGATCACGTGATCAGTTTAATAGACGAGATTTCATACATGGCACCGCCAGCGCCTCTGATCAGTCAGTATGATGACATTAACCCTGAACAGTTCTGCAACGGTGACAACCGTCCGGCCAACTGTGGACAGAATTGCATGTGTACACACAAGGTCGATATACCTCTTAATGCTGTTGTCGAAGTTGTGTTAGTAGATGAAGGTATGTATTAATTACATGATATTTAATAGCCCGTCAAAATTAAAGCTCAAAGTAATTCAACCACTTATAGTCAATCTATAACTCAATTTCGTCCTTATTTACGATGTTATCATCACGTAAATCGATTTATTTCTTTGCTAATTATATACAACACTGAATACAATAACGGGAAGTAATGCATCACGTATACATAGATTACGATTACGATAATTATAATAGATGCAAATTCTTGATTGTACTTTCCATTTTCCAGTTCAAATCGCAAACTTATCTCACCCGTTCCACTTGCACGGATACGCCTACAACATCATCGGTATCGGCCGGTCACCTGACCAGAACGTGAAGAAGATTAACCTGAAGCACGCTCTCGACCTCGATAGAAGAGGTCTGCTCGAGCGTCACCTGAAACAAGGAGACCTCCCTCCGGCGAAGGACACCATCGCTGTGCCGAACAACGGCTACGTCATTATCCGTTTCAGAGCCAACAACCCTGGCTTCTGGTTGTTCCATTGCCACTTCCTGTTCCACATCGTAATCGGCATGAACCTCGTCCTGCAAGTGGGCACTCAGGCCGACCTTCCTCCCGTACCTCCCAACTTCCCCACATGCGGCGACCACCTCCCTCCCATCTCGCTCCACTAAATTGGTTCCTAGAAAATTGCCCAGTTTTTGCATGTGCAAACAAAAGTACAGCACACAGCTATGTACAGTTGATTTAAATATGTTAACTAAGTGTAAATTTATGTTTGTTTTGTGTGATGTGTCCGGTGGATTCGAAGTGCTCGATTCTGCCGTTTGTGTTTATTTTTTTACAAGAGTGATTCAATGGGAGTTAATGATGGTTTGTGATTTTATTTAACAATGGATGCACTCTCTCTGCGAGTTGACTTCAATTTTAATTTTATGCCATATTCGGTGATATTTTCTTAATACGTTATAATTATTGATATCGCCAATAATATGTACTTTGAGGCTCTTGAACCAACAATTATTACTTTCGCGTATTGAGTATAGTTTTAACAAGACTTGTTCGTCCTGTAACTAACAACTTGCCATTATAATTTTATTTTCACCAATGATATATTTATTACTTGTATATATTTAAAAATTACTTATTAGACCTACTTGCTTAGAATTGTAAGACTTTTCATACCCTGCCAATTTTGCATGCACTTCTACCGTTTATGACAAATGTAAATAACGTACTGCGGAACTTTTGTAAATACACAGTAGTATGATCACTCTGTACCACATCCGTACACAAACGAAGACTGTATATTATTACGTAGACTATAGATATACAGCGCGCACACGTGAGGTTACCAGTAATTAAGAATTTTTGTTAATTGTTACGGCTACTAGAAGTCAGTGTGATTGTGCCAACGGAAATTTCATAAAATAGATATCGGTGTGTCCTAGTCGATTGGAAACGACAACACGCAACTTACATCGAACATATCTTGCAGCGAAGTAGGTATATTTTGCTAAACGTAAACGAGAATAAAGTGTTACGATTATAATAATAATATAAAAATTACTATAAGAATGTAAAATTTTATACCATTTAATAAAATTTATGAAACATAGCAGTTAATTTTATTTACCTTTTAGTAGTTATTTTGTAGAATTAGACACACATCAGTTGTAAAAAAAATGTTGTATATTTGTATATATAGCACTAGTATTCTTATATACTTTAGATAGATGACTTGCATGGATTGATTTGTGCATGATGGGTTTTCCAGTAGGCCTCTACTTGGCACCGAGACACAGGTTGTAAATGTTCTATATTTCTTTGTGTATATATCTTTTTCTTTTATAATAACAGTGTTACTAAACCATTCATTTGTGTAAAGCTTTTAGCACATTAAATGGCTTCAAATAAATCTGCCAAATTAACAAAAATAAAGCATTGCTGTACTGTCTCAGAAGTAACAAAAAAGCAATGCAATTAAAAATATTTGGAATACAATTTAAAGTCAGCACATATTGCTATACACAAATATACCTTTATATCTTGTTACAATCCTACATTAATGTTATAGATTCTTAACCCCTTGGACGCAATCTGCAATGTAAAGAGAAACGACGCTGTTTGTGTGAGTAACTTGAAGTCGGCCAGGCCAGTGGACAAAGCCATCCTGCAAGAAAGACCTGATGTCAAGATTTTCCTGCCGTTCAGATTCCACTTCTACAAGCCAAAGGATCTGTTCAAGGAAAATACTTACAGGAACTATCTAGGTAAGGTTCCAAAGTCATTTCTCGGAATATGTTTGATTAGTAGGTACAGTTTTGTTACAAACTAGAAAATTTTAATAGTTAAGGTACATAAATTCTTTTCCTTGATACCTATAAATACTTTTATATAAAGAAACTTGATACGAAGATAAATCTTTGTTGGATTTAGTGCCCCTTAATTTATATCTTAGCTTTAAGAAAAGACTGTAAAAAATTGATAATTAGTAGGAACTACGTATTTTAAATAACAATGATTTAAATATGTATATCTTATATTCCAGTGGCTCCCGGTGGTGACCACGTCCTAAGTCTGGTGGATGAGATCTCATACCGAGCACCACCAGCGCCGCCCCTGTCGCAGATGCATGAGTTGTCCCCTGACCTCTTCTGCAATGGAGACAACAGACCCGCCGACTGCGCCGTCGACTGCCGCTGCACACATATGATAGACGTGCCACTCAACTCTATTGTGGAAATCGTACTCGTTGACGAAGGTAATGAATTTGTCTTAATTATTGATAGGTATATTCAGTATATACCTATAATGAACAATGAACCATTTATTGAAAGTAAATTAGTTAAATTACTATTCAAATAAGGAAGCTACAACATAAGAACAGAAGAGTCATAAGTATGACACAATTGGAGCTTAAAAAATATTTTAACAAACTCCTTTCAAAAGATTTTCTGGAAATATTACATTTTTCTTATGAATAAACATCTAAAAGGTAGCTTACGACCTATTCTCATAGTTTGTATTTTTTAATTTCAGTACAATCACCGAATCTGTCGCATCCGTTCCACCTTCACGGTACTCCGTACAACGTGATTGGTATCGGCAGATCTCCAGACAAGAATATAAAGAAGATTAATTTGAAACACGCCCTGGACCTGGACAGGAAGGGTCTCCTACACAGGCAGTACAACCTCCCACCCTTCAAAGATACTCTTGCTGTACCCAACAACGGGTACGTCGTATTAAGACTGAAGGCTGATAACCCAGGTACATATTTCACACTTATTTTTAGCTGAATAGGGTTTATATTACATTGTACAAAATGTCCTTATACATAATTTTAAAGTAAATATGACCACCCAATGATATTGCCATTATAAAAAAAAAACACTTTTTCAAAGATATTAATGAAAGATTCTGTTTAATGCTCGGTTCTAACACTCACATTTCTATTTCAGGATATTGGTTGTTCCACTGTCACTTCATCTATCACATAGTAATAGGAATGAACCTAATTCTTCACATCGGCACACAAGGGGACCTGCCCCCCGTGCCTCCGAACTTCCCTCGATGCGGCGACCACCTACCAACGATCACTCCGCCGTACTTCCCGATACACTGAGACAATCGAGAACTCAATGATAAATCGATATTCGTAATCGATTTGTGAAAAACCAAACAGGAGTGTATAGCATCGCGTACTGCCATATTTTGTTCTGTTGTTGAAATATGAACAACGTGCGAATGGGATAAATATTTGTTAATGTTGTCTTGTAAATAATGTTCTAAGCTTAAGTTTCTGTTCTAAATAACTGACATCTGTTTCGCGTAAGAGACCAAAGTATTTAATCAGATCACGATCATTATTTATAGATATAAGTATACGACCAGCTTGTGATCGAAGTGGCGACTAGATCCGCCATTGTTGAATTCCTTTGATGTGTGTAGTTAAATGTTATTGTTACTCGTTTTATAATTTTGTACATAAAGTTAGAATAGGATGTGTTATTGTTAGGTTATATTAGTGAGGGGCGTAAATGTAATGTTATTCCTAAATAAATTTTAACGTAAAGGGGTTAAGTGCAAATACGTAATTACCAACTCGCAATATTTAGAATGGTTATTGTAATTACATCCTTCCGACAAGACTGCACAGTTTCTTTTGTCTGGGCCTGCGAACACTTCACTTTAAATTGTTTGTTTCCATCATGTGTCGGAAGGGCTTGATAGGCCTTTTAACTTTATAAAAACATGTTTATTCAATTTACCTCAAGTTACCGACCATCATGTAACTTGAGACCGTAACCTGTGTTACGGTGTAACGTGTATCTCTATGCAAAAATTGCAATGATATTAGTTTGTATCGCCATTCATATAATTTAGTTCATGTACAATTCATATTCACTCTTTGAGATGGTTGCAAAGCGCTCACGAGATAATCTTTCACTTAAGATAAAAACTCGCATTTCTAACGTTCAGAGAAACGATACACGGATGCCTGAAGACAGAAAAAATATGAATGCCTGCTTAATTAATACTTTCGTCGCATTCTAAACGATGAATCATCGTTAATACGATTTTAGAATTACATTTGCAAAAATATTCTAAACGCATTCGTGTGCTCCTATTTGCTTGCTACTGTTTACTTTTATTTTTCTTGACTCATTATTTACTCAAAATACTTAGTTTAAATTACTTATCTAATGACTTCCATTTTTTTCTAATTCCATTTTCAAATTAATTTTACGCTTTCTTTGTTTTTCGGCCAGCACTTAAATTATACGGCAATAAAAACTATTTAATGCAAACCTTTTTAATAACGTTCAAGTAAGTAAACAAATAACTCATTAGATTATTTAAAAGTTTTTTTTTAATGCCGTAACAGTTACGTTTAGTTGATTTCGTATTAAAACATTGTTGATTTAGATTGTAAGTATTTATCTTATTTGAAAGATTAACTCTAAGCTATCAATATAAAGACACAGGGTAATATTTTGTCAGAAAGTATACACCTGTGTTGGGTCTGCAATATGGAAAGACTCCACCATTTTCCATAATTTTTACTCTTTAAATTATTATCATTAAACTCTTCGAACACCATGTCGTATATTTAGGAAACAGTCATTTTATATTGAAAATAAATGTTTTGTAAATTTTTTGTCGTTGTTTTTCATTTATTTTAAACCCATTTTCTTTATGACTTTCGTGTCTGTTACCTGCCATGTCTTATTTATATTATCTATTAAATACTGAGAATTTCGAAAATTTAAAACTATACTTGTACCTGAAAGGGAATCGAACTAGAGATATCAATACCGTGGGGTCAGCTCACGCATGAAAAAAAATACAAATGTTTGTACCGGTTCTCGATTGATTAATTTATATTTCTACATGATGAATTTATGTTTCTAAATAGGTACCATTACATACTCATGTGTCGTGGATACAAAACAGATGAAAACTCTATACATATAGTGGAACAATGTTTTAAATTGAAAAAGAAAACTATTGAAAAATTTGCGCCATACTTAAAAAATGGAAGAATGAGCGATTTACTAGCCAAATAGCAGGCCATAAATCTGAAAATCTGTTCACAGTGACAAGACAAATATTTTGTAGTTAGGTCGATACTCCGATAGCACGACCTGGTCCAATATTTTAATTACCCGTATGTATGATGAAATATAATTGTCAAGGTACTTTTATGTTTTGCAGGGGCTCTGAACTTGGTGATTCTATTTCAGTCGGTCGTTATTACACAAAACATCACGCCTTTTATTCCCGAAAGGGTAGGCAGAGGTGTATATGACGGCACTTAATGCCATTGTACAATGTAACACCTACTTTTCACTATTAATGTTATGAGTCCCATGTATTATGGGGTGAGCCTATTGCCATATACCGGGCACAATTCCAAACTCTGTACTACTTCTGAGAGTTTTTCAGAAATCCCGTAATACTTTGCTCGACCCGGGAATCAAAGTCAAAGCATTTATTTCAATTAATACATAATTAGGCACTTTTGAATCGTCAAAAATTGATTTTTCCGTCCATCCGTCTGTCACTGAAGCTCGTTCGAAAGTGTAATTTCAAATGGAGAAAAACGAGCAAGAAATTCTTTTGTTACTTTTTTAAAAACAGACCCAGCAGTCACGCTTGCAACCACTCGGCCAACGAGGCAATCTTCAGTCATTATAATGTACTTACATTAAGGTGTAAGAAAACTACATGACGTAGGATAGCCCCTCGTATTTTTTTATTTTGAAATCTGGTGAAAAGATGTCCAGATTATAAATTCAAGTCATTTATAGATGGTGTAATAATAATTCTCAGAATTAGAGAATGTATAAGATTACCTCGTTCAATTAGTGACCACATAGGTACATACTTTGATGTCGTTTTTGCTGAACAAAAAGGATTAACCGCCGTACTCAAAGTCATTTAATGGCTGGTACCCAGTCCTTAGCAATTGTATTGCGGACAAAATCGTTACTAAGAAATAGTTTTAGTCTCTCTCATTAAATGTGTGTGAGTACGGCAGTACCTAAGTGATATAATTAGTGATATTCTTGTGACACAGCCCACGTGATACGCTAATTAATTGGCAAACTTGAACTTTATACAAAGCAGACAAAAGGTTGAGCTTCTGCAAATATGAGTACAGATAAGGATTTATCTAAACCCAATGTTATATAAGACGGTAAGAACTAGTTTTCCAGAACAATTTATCCACCGAATATTGCGATGAACTTCACTGTGACATTTCTGCTGATTACCTTAACATTCGGTTTACTTAACACAGGTAGGTTCGTGTTTTTTTTATCTATTTCAATATCATAATTAGTACCGTTTTTCAGGGCACGCGGGGCCCTGCGCGGAACGAATCCACCAATTATTGTTTCGGGTCTAGGTGTCATGTGTATTTGAACTTGTATGTTTATAAATGCACCCACGATACAGGAGAAAATACTAGTGTGGGGCAATGTTAAAAAAAGGGTCGTTATAAAAATTAAATTCAACAACGTTTCCGTAAAACGAAAGGCGACTGTTTGCTATCTCGGTTTAGTTTTGGAAAAAAGGTTTATTTCATTGAACATATTAAGTGAGAAATCCAAAACTAACTTTTATGCGCTGACGCGAATATCACAATAAATATTTTACTACCACTCGCTCTAGTTTAGTAAGTAATTATTTTGACAGGTGAAAACCGAATATGCCTTAGTCACGTTTGAAGTCATAACCATAAGCAAAGAAAGACAAAGTTCAATGGAAACTGAAAAATAATTTGTAAATAAGTTAAAACTGAAAATCCGACTAATATTATGAATACGAAGGTTTGCATATTTGTTTGTTAGTTTTTTACTCTTTCAGCTCAAAATTGCTAAAAGGATCAGGATGAAAAAAAGTACCTGTCTAGAGTTTGTGTGTGGCGACACATGTCACACGTCAAATATCGATGAAAACAAATCAACGGATGACGTCACAAAATCCTACCTCGCACATGTGAAGTTTACATGCAATTAACATGCCTAGACAATCCCAACAAATAGCTGTTGGGCAGAAAGCCCGCCAGGCACGAACACCTTGCCTGGTCGGAGGATCCTCCTTTTCCGATCTTAGGGAACTTTACGTGTATCGTTTTAAAATGCACGAAGTGTTTCTCCCACAACTATATCATTATTTACGTATAAGCAATTTTATATGATATACTTGTATTTCTAGTAAACACAAAAAGCCTAAAGCCAACGAGTAAGATCGTGGGCGGTCACGAAGCGCGGCCTCACAGCCACCCTTACCTGGTGTCACTGCAGAGCAGGTTCTTCTGGGTGCGAGTCCACATCTGTGGTGGAGCCATACTCAATGAAAGATGGGTAAAGTAGACCAGATTAGCAAATTCAATATTAACGTATAAAAAGTAAAGAACTGTTTTAAATATGTATTAAGTTACTGTCCAGTAAAGAAAAGAAAAAGGAGTCTTTCAATTCTTTTACTCTTTAATGTCTTTGTTACAGTATTTTTTAAACAATGGATAATACAAACATTCGAAACACTTCATTTTGTATGACGTGTTAAATACCTCATTATACCTACAGACTATCCAATGTCCAAATAGAAAACCTATGTCTATCTCCTACGCATACATCTGAGCAATTTACTAAAACGTGTTTGTCTGCGCATGAGACGTCTTTCTTTCGACAATGTCTTTACCGGCCTTGATGAGGGAACCTTAGAACACATATTTTTTTCGTGTCCCTTAAATTCCCAATCCTTTGACCTCTATAAAAAACTTCCCAGTATCCAAATCCCACTCCCAATCAGTTTCCACCTCCTTTTAACTCACTTTTCCCACAAAGTAATTATTTAAGTATATATGTAAATTTATGAATGAAAATGAGATCAAAATGTGACGGTGTCCAATGATGTATATTAATATCTGTCTATAATGTGTATGTCCCCCAACTATTTTATACACCACTGTATATATACAGTAAAATAGTTGATAATGTTTATGTTTTACTAACCCAATTGTTTTGTCCTTTCAGCTACTAACAACTAAAAACTACCGCAAAGTTAAGTTCGACGGTCCAATTATTTTGCCGTCACCACTCGACACTGGCAGTATAGTCGACAACACCATTTTGGAGACTCAGTTGCCAAAGAAGAGAAAAAAAAAAAATGTCTTTACCATTGAATAAAATTAATAAATGTTAAATAACGTATTACATTTTTAAAATTTGAAAGAAATTAATATTTTTGTTTAATAAACTTGGGTTTCAGATTTTATCAGCCGCCCACTGCGCTATTGAGTCTTTCATGATACGATGGCTTCCGCTAGATGTCGTGGCAGGCATTCACGATGTCAATAATTATGGAGAGCGGGCACAGATTATCAAGGTCAACGAACGTATACCTCATCCTTTGTATGAAGGGTAATTATGAATGTTTTTCAAATATCTTTAAATCTATTTCCTCACAACGGTTTGGTGGATCACTAGTCAAGGCGTCAAACCGAAACGTCAGTTTAGAGTTCTGAGATTCTTCTTAATTCAGAACATTTCGTTGTGAAACTGAAAAATTCTATCTATGTAGACAGATATTACTTACCTACATAGATAAATATGTTACCATGTATATTTCAAGTTTACTATTTCATCAACTTCTTTCCAGTGGTATCGGGCCATATGACATAGCCGTGTTCGGCACAGAAACTCGAATTAAGTTCACAAAGTACATTCAACCAGTAAATCTGCCGTATAATTATAAATTTCGTGGTGGATATACATTGAAGTTACCAGGTTGGGGAGCACTGAAAACCACATTTTTCTTCCCTGACTTGCCAAGCAGATTGCAAGAAGTGCAAGTATCTCACATCCCGTATAACGGTAAAAATTAAATTGTTATTAAACCTACAATTAATTTCATCTACCTACTTACTTCGTTACTGTCTCGAATTCAAACTTCATTCAAAACTGCTAATAAATAATAACAAAGGACAAATATAAAATTCTTGTTATTTACTTACTTGCCTTAACCAAGATTCGAACCCAATATCTGGCAGTTTCAGTTGTTATTTTAATTGATCTTATTGTAATTGACTTCAAAGCAGAAACATTTCTCAATCTCAAAATCAATCACACAGATTGCTATGCAGCCATTGAAAAACTAAAAGAAGACAATGAAGAAAATCCACTAGACAGAGATGCAAATATATGCACAGGACCAACAAGTGGAGGAATAGCAGCCTGCAGTGGAGACTCAGGTGGACCTCTCATACAGTATGTTCCATATAGCATTCTGGAACCAAATGATTCTGTAGAGGATAATACAGAACGATATAATGCAAGTTACTATGACTGTAACAATGAACAAACCACTGAACCAGTAGAAGAAACTACAAGAACAGATGACGCTAGTCCACAGGGAAGACAGAATACAGAAGATTTGGTTCCAACTGTTATAGGCGTTGTGTCCTGGGGTGTGGCTCCCTGTGGGCAAAAAGGTGCACCAACTATTTACACTAACGTATCCACCTATATAGATTTCATCAATTACAATATCAAGGAAATGTAATAAAAGCATTTCTTTAATTTTTATTTTCTTTAATTCCACTCAATAAATATTTTTAATTTCATACAATATTGTTTTTATTTCTATCGTATCGTTTGGTTTACAACTGCCGACATCTTCACCGCCTGCATGAACATTATTAACTGTCTTGAATAGTCTTTTTATATTTTCTTTATTCAGGACTAAAAAAATATCAGTATTGTATACTTAATAAATTAAGTTCTCCAGGTAACCATAGCCTTCTTTATTAGAGGATATTATTCTATTTCTATAATGAAGATCAGTTTAAACCTTCGTTTCTAAACTTTTAGTTTTCTCATTTTACCTATTTCTTCACTGTCAAAATATGACTGAGTATTATTCATAGAAGCACCATTAAGTACTTAACCTAAATTACAAACATACTTATAAATACTACACACTAAAATCACAAGACCAAAGCACACTATCAGTCTATTAGAAATTATTTAGTTCAGTAATACGTCCGGTGGTCTGTAGTTGCCGCACTTAGGTAATGAGTCTACCACAGCCTTGGGTATTGTTTCTGGAACCCTGATCATGATGGCAGCGGGAACTGAGGAGAGGGCACAGGACCTGCACTCCAGCAGCCAAGTCCCACCACGATCTATCTTGATTCTGACTATCGTGTAGCCTTTGTTCGGCACTGTGATCGTGTCTTTCACTGGTGGGTTTTGGAGATTTCTGGAAGAGAGAAGAGTAATGAGTATTGAATAGGTAAGATCATTTCTGTATTAAATTATTTCTGTTCCTCTTTATATTATTAATGTAGGGATGGTCACTAATATGCTACAGTTAGCTTTGAGCAGAACATGGTCCTAAATAGCTTGATTCTCCAGTAACAATAACAATCATAGACTTATTTTTAAATACTGAAACGGCACTCAATTTTAAGTCGCACTTAAGTATATTTTTGTCACTACAAATTATTCGTTTACGTGCGTGCGGACGTGCCATCTCTGCCATTTTTGGCACGCACGATATTTAAGAACAACCTAAATTGAGCCTTTCAGTATTCGGGCGTTAGGCAGGCAACAGCACTAATAGTAGATAATTATACTAATTTCCGTCCATTTACTACAAGTCATTATGCAGATAATGTAGATGGTATAAGAAAACTGTTGCGTAATAACGACACGTTCAAATCGCAGCATCACCATAAAAGAGAAAGTGCTAGATAATTTGATGCAAGTCATGGAAATGTTTTGTTGTTTATTACGTTATTATACATAAGGCTACCATAGCTAATTGTATGCAGATTAGAAAATAAATTACCCGTACAGTAATTATAATAACGCATAAATCATCTTCGAATGTTTTACATTCTGAGAATTTTCATCCCAAATATAATGCGTACTATGTCAATATTGCGAGTACACTTCTTAACCTGCTTCTAGGACATTGAACTAGTTTCAAGCCAACTATTCATATGTACTCAAAATCGGATGCATAAATTAGCCGTAGATTATAATAAAAATATTATTATTTTCAAATTGACTCAGAATTATCAAACAATATTTAGTTTTATACAAAAAATCCTTTTTGTAACAGATCCTATTTGTATATTTTACTTTAATATCACCCCAAATAGAAGCTTATATACCAATAATACATGGCAATAGTTTGTTAAAATCTGTAATTGTCATTAAATCTACAAAGGTGTTCATCCCATCTAAGTAACTAGTTTGGCTTAAGGTTTATTTTCCAATAGAATATTTGCAATCAATAGCATCTTTAGCCTTTTTTCCTTTTAACACCATCTAAAACCCTCATTAACCTAAACCAAACTGACATCGACATAGAAACCACCGAAATGGAAAAATATTTGTTAATATTAGGGAACAATATTTACCTTGATATTTTACTATCTTTACTCAACTTCTGGAAGTCTTCCTTGGAGATCGGTTTGTCTTTGGGATTCTGCCATGTGGAGATCACCTGCATGTTGTAGCCATGCATGTGGAATGTGTACGAGTCATTGCTGCCGAATCCTGAAAATTAAGAGAATTGACAAAGTTTAATCGCCTTCCTCGAATGTTGATAGTCCTTGACAATTTAAAGAAATTATGCACATCCATTTAGCATAGGCATGTTGTCAGCGTCTTTCTTTTAATTCTTCTGTTTTAATTTTTTAACTTTATGTCTTTCTTACTTCCGCTCGCTGTCACACCTATATTGTCTTTTTATATTTTATTTATGCTGCATCGTGCCTGGTGCTGAATAAATGTTTTTTCTGTCTTTCTTTCATTTTACAAATAACCAAATAAGTCAAAGTCAAAATTTTATAATTAAAGCAATTTTGACTTTCTATCCTTAATTAGTACTTTACATACTTTTGAAACGTCAAAAATTGAATTGTCAGTCCTTCTGAATGTCAGTGAAGCTAGGCACTCGTTCCAAATACGAAATATACTCACCTTCATTAACTAGGGCGATCTCCAACACTTCCCCTTCAATAGCGTCCAGCACTTGTATGCACTGAGCTTCCACCTGCGTCTCCTCCTCCCCTACTTTGCAGTACATGTCCTGTCTTACGTCCCGAGGGCGTAATAGTATCGGCACATTAGGGTACAAGAAACTCTTCTTGTTTATTTGGACGACACCATTTTCGTGAAGAGCTGGAATATATGAGATTGGTCATTATAAAAAATAAAAAAATACAAGTTATTTCTCTAAAAAAATATACCAACATATATATGTTATCAACTGTGCACCATAACATTTTCTACGTAACAGAATAGGCAGATAACTTTAGATCCAAGGCAGCGGGGTTGCCGGGGCTTCGGTTCAAAGTGCAGGAAAAGGAACGGGGTGGTCTTTAGTCAGTAAGAGTCTGACACTCCCTCTCGCAAGGCAGCGATCGGATATCAATAAGTAAACATTATTAAATAAGGAATAAAACAAACAAATCAAGAAAATATCTTTCATAAATATTCCCCAAAACTAGATTGAAAATACTACTTACCAAAAGCAGCAGGGAAGAACGGCTTCTTAGGAATAGCGTCACTGATGTATCTAAAGTCAAGATCAGCTTCTTTCACTTGAACGATATTTTTATCGATACCAAGGTACACCGATTTAACCTCCGATGCATGGCTCTGGTCTTGGAGAGATTCCAGCATTTGACCGCTTACCACCAAGTCTGATGCGAATGACTCTTGCTTGTACTCGTTCTGAAAAACCAAATAAACTTAGTATAATATTTACATCATCATAAGTTTTTTGACCAAAATTAATTATAAATTGCTCACCTGACTTCCTGATTTGTTGTGACTATTAATTTATTGACTTTTTAGTATATTACAATTTGACTACTGATACATAATGACATCTTAATTATATGACATTTCTAATTTATTTTCTGACTTTACCTGTTTTAATGTATTTGAATTGTTTCCAATAATAATAATAATAATTTCAATATAATTGTTCTTTAGTGCGACATAAATTAATATTGTTAATACAATTTTATATTTCTACACCGGTAACGGTAGTATGTGTGGAACTCTGTTTATTTTAAGATCTGTGTGCACCATGTACTGAGAAATAAAGGACATTCATTCATTCATTCATTCAAATATGTAGTGATCTTGATGGCATCATACTAATAGTAAGGCCGAGTGAAATTTCCTGCCATAGTCTGTGTTTTGTATGGATATGTGGTATGGGTCTATGGGTATTTTCATGACCCATGTATGTAGGAACATATGTCCATACATCTGCTGGTCGCTTACTACCAGGCAAGATGGTAGCCATCATATCGCAGAAATGTTGATACAAGAATCAGTGGTTGTACCTGGTTTTCCACTAACATCGCAGTGTAGTTGAATCCAGAGTAGATGAGCATCGCGTTAGCACCGAGACCAGTGCATGCACCTGTACCATGCACCCTCACCCAGTAACCTCCACCTTCTTCTGATGCACGCACTACTGCATCCATACGCTCACCTTGAATAGAAAAAAGAACAATCAGTTATATTATTATTAATAATAATGGAACTGGAAGTTATTAAAATAAGCCAACTAGTCCACTGAAACTAATTAAGACAAAGGTATCTACAATCAAAATGAGGAAAATAAGAACAATCATAAAACTACAGTTTATGCATTTTCTGATCTTGATTTCGCTTCAAACGCTGCCAGTGACCTTGTTTTCATTAATTAAAATAAAATACTTCAAACGAAACTCGACGTTAAAGTAACTAATTAATATTAAACAGAGACAACATTATAATAAACTAAATAGTACAAATAATACGCGAATGGACTTTGTTACAACAATTTTTTGGCTTGACATGGTAAAAGGAAATTTTAAATTGAACGTAATTATAATGGTAGAACTAGAAAACTATTAAAAAACAATAGAAAGTGAAAACATAATAAACGAAACTGGTTAACGATGACCTTAAACTTAGTGAGAAGCAACACGAGCGAGACAAGATGCATACCTTTCTCCTCTTACTAGATGAGGAGAAAATAAATTCACTTTAAAATGCTTTGGTCAGTGAGCAAAAAATCGCACCGAGAGTACTTTAACAAGTACCGTTATGGAGTAAATAGAAATCCAAAAGCGACTCAGAACAATTTGAAAGACCACGTGGATAATAATCTGACTATATAGACAAGCGTACGCCTCCTTTAACAAAATCTATTGTTTACGGATTTTATAGTTAGTTCTAATACATTAATAGTAGATATTTAGACCTCATATCTTCATTTCTATAATGTTGAACTTTTTTTAAATTAACCTGTCCGAATATGTCTCTCCGTCGTCTATGTCTAACCCAAACTTTTCCATCATAGTAGCAACACTTTATTTTATTGGCATTAACCCGCCAACGACAAATATAAAACCAGATTCATTATAAACTGTTTTTTGTTATTAACAGTGTTCGGAAATTGACGTCGATACGATAGTTTAATGAGTTTATCGATATTTTGTCGATTTATTAATTTAAACCATTTGAAGATGCTTCGTTAACTTTCCTTCACAATTTGACTTATTACTGTGACTTACACAATCGAATAAAAAAGGAAATTGACTCTTACGTGCGAACTTGTCATTCACATGCCATATAAATTTTGTGGTAGCCAGTGATAGTTTTTCGATTACAAGAGATAAAAGTGATGTGGTTAATAGCACGTCGTTCATTCAGCCAATTGAAGTAGATGCCACTTTCTCCGAAGTAAAAGCTCATTCTATCGTACAACAAATTCCGTTCGCTCTCTCGCCTCTAAGGGTTTTATTCGTCAAGTTTATTATTGTCTTTGTGTTTTTGCAAACACACATGTGTTGTGCAATAGGTACTAATAAATACTCGGTTATGTAAGCTATGGTGTTTATTTCCTTAAAATTTGCATCATAACATATTCTATGGGTGTCTTTTACGAAAGGTGCTGATGAATGCACTTACGCTTACTTAATTATTCCCATGCAATAATAGACTTTAGGACTACTGCTGTAGCTTTGTCGGTATAGATAAAAGTTTATGATTTGCACTGTCGATGTCGCCAAGAATCGAAATATGAATAGGTACCTTTCAACGATACTAACCAAGAATATCAGTAAGATCTCCTTAAATTTTTATACATTCAATACAATCAATCTCAGTCATCCTGTTTTAGTCAATTTGTAAATTATCGATGCTAATAAAAATGGTAAACTGCATTTGGTCCATCGCGAACGGAGGCCAACTTGCAAAATGTTTGAGCAACACATTTCGACAGAGCTCGTGTGTTTAGTAGACAAATGTTTTATTTTTAATATTCATAAAGCTATCACATCTTGTCAAGGTTAAGGAATTAGATATTACAAGGCTAAAACCCATGACCTCTAAATGAAATAACATGTTATAACAACACGTCTCCGTTTCAATAAATATCATTTTCGCAAGTTTTATTAAATTTTAATAAGGGCGAGTCTATCGCCTAATACCGGCCAAATAAATTGAACACAATGTTATGGAGGATTTTTTTCAAACTTAGAATTTGACTCAATACCTCATCCCAGATAGTCAATTTATTGAACACAAAGCAGTTTAAATATGGAAAACTATATTTTTTTATGGAATAGACATACGAGCAGACGGATCACCTAATGGTAAGCGATCAGCACCGCCCATGGACAACCGCACACCAGAGGAGTCACAGGTGCATTGATGGCCTTTTAAAAAGGAATCTCGCTCTTTGCTTGAAGGTTTGAAGGTCGTATCGGTTCGGAAATATCGCCGACGATAGATCATTCCACAGTTTTGCTGTGCGAGGTAAAAAGCTACGTGTGAAGCGCACAGTTGTAGCCTGCCAACCATCTATATGATGGGGATGCATATGCTGTCGTGAGGGTCGATGGCGATGTATTATACAACAGACGTGATTTTATCGGCATAGACAAAGTTTAAATAAATATATCACGCACAGCATGTTTGTTTACATAAACAATAAATAAAATAAACAACACGTTTCTTATCCCAATGAGAAAAGGTGTAGGCAGATTCTATCACCCACATTTCACTTTTATGTTATCCACATGGTAATAAGAAACAAAGTCACCATGCATTGAACCTCTATAGAAAATCATTTCACAATCAAACTCTTTTCCTACATATGGTTCCAGCCAATAAATTAAAAGAGGTCCTTAACTTCGTTTACAGTTGAATCACTTGATACATTCGCAACAATATTGCAAAATCATTCTCATATTAGGAAATGTTTACCTAATCCTTATCCTTACTAATATTATAAACCGGAAAGTGAGTTTGTTTGTTTGTTCCGCTTTCACGCCGTAACTACTAAATCGATTGCTTTGAACTTTTGCAGACGTAAAGTTAGAAGTCCGGATTAAATAATAGGTAGGAGTACTTTTATCCCGGAAAAAAATGATATTCCCGAGGGAAAACAAAAGTATTGGTATAGATGGCGCTGTATGTATTGGTATATGTCACATAGGCTACTTTTTATCCTTTTGTGACGCGAGCGAAGCCGCGGGTAAAAGCTAGTCTTAAATAATGGCTTCCTTACCTGGATGTAGCTCCACGTTTCTAGCCAGAACTGGTTTGGTCGGTTTCCCATCGGTTGCAATCACAACCATTTCGTGTTTCTCTATAGTCACTATCACGGGACACTCAGTTGCAATTGCATTTATAAACCTCAGTCTGTACGCGAACCCAGCCATGACGACTATCCTGAAAAAAGAAATAGCACATTTAAAAAGTATATTTGAAAAAATCCATACGTTACGTGGTTCTATCTGTGTTATTATTCATACAAATCAGATTTAAAATTTTCTTACTTCTATCTTATTAAAAATCGACCTATCTTTGTAATTAAAACCTTGTTTTACCTCTGTCAATGGTGTAATGAAACAATCTTTCTAATTATAACTTACTATAAAGACATAATGATCACAATTTCAAACAAAATAAAATGGACCAAAGAACTCTTATACATCTCCGTCCCTGTCCCCATTTATGCATAAGTATAATATTTCACATAATAAAAAAGTTGAACTTATTTGAATGAAACATTATAACGTGCACTGAATAGAAAGGCTGTGTAAAGCAGGTACTCTACACAAGGTAACTTGCAAACCACAGACGTCAATGCCAAATGCAGTTTCACATACCTACTATAATGCTAAAATATTACTATTATAATAAACTTGAATCTTATGAGTTAACTAATAAGTTTTATAGTTTGTAAAAGGTGCAGTGTAATCTTGAAGTAATTGTTCAAGACAAAAATACCTGATTTACCGATGACAACTACAGAAATCAATAAAAAAATTTAAGTAAAGAGCAGACACACACTGCTCATGAGGCTCATGAGTCCCTCTGTTACAAAAAATATGAACATAATAAATAATGCGTGCCCTTTTTTGATAACGGGGGAAAACCTTCAAAAGGTTCCTAGGTTTTTATTTCACTAAAACCAATATCACCACGTACGACGTATGGAAAAAATATTATTATCTTCACTAAATTGTTAATTAATCTAAATGCAAGACAAGCTCATAACTATACGTCAAACGTAAACTTGAAACATGCATATCATTCAATAATGGTTACTATCTTAGTTGAAACAAGTTTTAACTTTCGTGGAGATCTACCATCAATATGTTATCGTCATTAACATTAAATGAATGCCTTTACCATGCTACCAGTTTCTTGCAAAACAACTGGTAAGTTACTAAACCAGTTAACTTTCTTTATGGACTAACTACCGGCATTACGGGCCATTAGATATAAAGTAGTCAATGAAATACTAAATGCTTCGATCTTTAGTAACGACGGATGCAATGTGCAATGCGGTAAACTGCAATGAAGGTCTAGAGGTCATTATCCTTTTTGCAAACATAAACAAACAATCTTCTTGTATATTGTGTTTAATACGATAGATTTTGTGGTTATAGTCAATGTCTCCTTCAATTTCAAAGAATGAAATGTTAATTTTTGGTTTAGTTTTAACTGAAAAAATGTTATCCTGAACTTTAAATATTCACAATGTCAAAAGTTCATTATATTATTGTTATAGTATGTACAGCCATCTGAAGGTCGTTTAGTAAACCACTAGACAAATATATTGACTACTACATGTGAAGGTCAGGGCGCTCTTCATAAAGTACCGATTAGACCTCAATGACGTCCTCAAATGGTTAGAAAAAAGAACTTGGACCATTTGCTCTTTAAATACTTACTTTGAGACATCTCCGTCGCCATTTATAATAATGGCGTCTGGTTTCAATTTACTAACGTCTTCTAGCTTAGCAGTCAACAGCTCTGGGAATTTAGCTCCTATTGTTAGCGTGTTCTCAGCGCTCCTGTCGTAATCATACAGAGATGAGTGATGTTCCAACGGTTGCGGTTGATTTATTATCAGTGGGCCATATACACCATCACTCTGATGTGACACTGCAACAAAAAAGGGACACGTTAAAGATAAATGGAATTCAACGAGGATCTGATTTATAACAACCCGTTAGAGTCCAAAATTCAAGGACAGCAACAAATGTTTTGTCGAGTAACTGAATGTGATAAATATAAAAATCAAAGCGAAATAATACCTCTAATAGTACACATACCTGAATCGGCATGGTAGAAGAAAGTTCCAGGTGATGTTGCAACAAAAGCGTATTTAAAGGTTTGCCCATATCCTATAGGACATTGGGTCACCATAGGAACTCCATCCATGTAAGGAGTTCCCTTCTGTTCAATACCATGCCAATGGATACTTATATCTTGATCCAGAATGCTGTTCTGGACTTCCACCACTATGATGTCATTGACACAGGCTTGGATTGGAGGTCCTGGAGTCATTCCATTGATGGTGATAGCTGGTCTTCCATCTTCCTGGATTGTTGGCTCCACTTTGAAGTTATAGTGGCAACGTTTCGGCTTCACGTTAAATTTGCAAGGTCGGTAGCAAGAAACTTTATCTGCAAGTAATCATATTTACGATACATGTGATGTTTTGTTTACTTTATATTAACTGGGTACATACATGCTTGTATTTAAATTATGTTCGACAATATGTATGGACTTTTTGTTGGTATAATTAGGATTAATCACAATTAGTATGCTAATAACATTAATAGAATTAAAATGTTTACTCGATTTCGTTGTTAAATTTTTGGTATAGACTATTATAGAGTACCAGTTTAAAAAGGTACTCATTCTAGAATGGGGAAATTAATCTCATACAATATAATGTTGATCTAATTATAATACCGTAGCCGAAAAAAAATATTACCTAAATTTTTCGTAGTATCCTCAAAGAGTATATTAGTCCCAGAGGGCGCAAAACTCTCAAGGGAGGCTTTTCCATTATTGCTGATATTGGCAATTATGAAAAGGCAACAAACAAACACTTTCATTGTCACTGAAAATTGTATTGGCAACTAGCTGAACATTTATTGTTTGTAATAGATAGTTCGCGCACTACACTACTGGGCGCACTACGCGCGAACGCTGCGATAGACGTCTCGTTCTCAACTAGCTTAGTGACGAAAAGCGGTTTCACAGACATGTGCTCTCGACCCCGTACCACGAGAGTTCACCGGCAACAACTACTCACTTTTCGCATCGGTAATCATAAAAAAATAACAACAACGGTACAAGGGCAAAATCTATCGTTTGCGTTTTAAAATCTATTGGTAGGAGGATAGGAATTGTTTGTAAGCCGTTCCGTTTGCTTGCGCCGTAGAATCAATGCGTTGCCTTTACTATTGCTGAAATATGAAACTTAAGGAAAAAGTGGTTCAACTGTTTCATGGTACTATAATGTACCAACTGAGGATTTTTTTTTTTCTTTTTACTTATTTTTTTTTTTAAGTTACGACATTGTTGACAAGTCTTCTATTTACCCGTCGAAAGTATAGTTGATACCAACTTGTACACATGTTTGTTCATCAATTAGAAACTTTTCGTTTCCATTAACTCTTTGTATAATCTCCGAAAGAAAAAGGTGTAAAGCTGGTGACTGTTACATAACTAAATAAATGTTTCTTCTTTCTAAGGTTTGGCATAGGATTTATGAAGATTAATTTGAAGAAGGTAATCCTAACGAATGCTATAAATGCGAAAGTGTTTGATTGTCTTTCTTTCACCTTATTTATATTTCTGTTCATTCTATAGACCTTTAACCTTTTGGCGCGATGCGACACCACTTGATGCGATAACTTGGTATTGATTCGTAAGTTTTGTTATAGGTAATCTATCGAATCTTGGCAGAAGGCTACGCAGCCGCTTTACGTTATAACTCATTCCTAAAGTGTAACATTCCTCTCATATTCGCGACTCCACAGAATTATGGTAAACAATGCCTAAACACATAATTATTTACATTTTCTTTTTAAGGCGATAAGCCGGTAAACGAACAGACGGATCACCTGATGGTAAGCAATCGGCGTAGCCCGTGGATACCTGAAACACCAGAGGCGTCACAAGTGCATTACTGGTTTTTTTGGGGATTAGAAATTTGAGGATTGTTAGGGTTTCAGGGATTGGAGAGATAGGGGAAGGGGGGAGTGGGGTAATTGGGCCTCCGATAATCTCACTCATGCGACGAAACACAACTCGAGCGTTGTTTCACGTCGATTTTGAGGTCATGGTATCACTCCAATCGAGTCGACCTATTCGGGCCTTAGCATGGCTCCCCGGTACTTAATTTTTTTTTATGTTATAAACATCTGGGCCCGTTTCGGTACTCAAATACCTACGTATAATTCTTCCACATACCTAAAGGACTTGTATAAAGTCCCATTACCCACGATATGTGATCAGGTTTGCATATGTTGACGGGTAACAAACATAAATTCCAGTGGAACAAAATGTAACGCATTTTGCAACTTCGTTCCGCACTTGCAATATTCGAAGGAAACCATTTCAAAACTCTCAATGTAGTTTATAATGTACTAGCGACCCGCCCCGGCTTCGCACGGGTGCAATACTTATGTAAAAATACCTACTACAAAATGTCCTTATACACCACGTTCACAGCTATTTTGTCATTAGACAATACAAACATGTTTTATATTGATATTTTCCTCGCTAGAGAGCTCCGATAAACGCGTGCGATCGCTGGAAGTCATGAAGTGCTCTAGGACGAAGCGCGGCCATCAACCCCGCAACAAATACGTCCCTGCATTTTAAATTTGTAATATCTTCGGAAATATTCACTTAAATTACATGCTGTAAAAAGTATATTGATCAATGATAAATGCACAATTTATTTAAAGTACTCTATTGGATAAGGATTAATGCTGTATTCTACAGAGGATTCTCTGGCTCTCTGAACTTTACGTCTAACCCGATCCTGGCTGCGGCGAGCCTCACGCTCTATTGAGGATTCTCTTTCTCTCTCAGTTCTATTTCTATCTCGGAGCTGGCTGAGGCGAGCCTCGCGTTCCGTTGACGATTCTTCATCTCTTGCATCTCTTCTGGCATTCACTGTACTACGACCTATGTTCGCACGACGACGTCTTCCGGACATGACTTTATAATGTCTGTTCAAAATTTTATACTTAGGTACTCAGTACTTGATTAAACTCACAACTTAAAACTATACGTATGATTATGAACTAATTGCACTAATTATTGGTTAGTGCTGGAGTAAAAAATATTTACTTACTATTCGTTTAACTAAAAACAAAAGATTATCAACAACAAAATATACCTGTTCTATTCAGTTCTTCTATGAACTTAAATATAATTTTCAATAATTGAAAATGCTCGCCCTAATACTAAATTGCCTTAACTCTAAATTCAAATCAAAGTCTTAATGGAAGAAATACCAAGAAATATGGTTTTAAGCTAATCCTATCTAACCTAATGTGCCATCGCGAAGGACACACCGGGCGTCGGGGATCGCGGGACGATCTCCGGCCACCGTAAGCGCGGGCCTGCGGACGGCGAGCATGGGTGGCTCCCCGTCCGACCAGAAACAGACCCGAGCGTACGGCGCGTCGCGTTCCGCGCGCGCCTCAAAGAGCCATCAGACCACCACAGATGGGGCCCAATAGGGCCGATGCCGATTCGGAGTCGCGGAGAACCTAACGGGTAACCGGGGCTCCGGCTCGACGTGCAGGAGAAGGAACGGGGTGGTTTTTAGTCAGTAAGAGTCTGACACTCCCTTCCGCCTCACCCAGGCGGGAGCAGTCATTCGATGATTTTCCCCCCTTAAAAAAAAAAAAAAAAAAAAAAAAAAAAAAAAATCTAACCTAATGTACTTATACTTATTCTATTCAGTTTAATTAATTCTTGATATTTTCCTCGCTAGAGAGCTCCGATAAACGCGTGCGATCGCTGCAAATCATAAAGGTATAAGGCGAAGCGCGGCCATCGACGCGCTATCTATAGGCACGCACCGCCCGGCGCAAACAACTACGACCCTGCATTTTAAATTTGTAATATCTTCGGTAATATTCACTTAAATTACATGCTGTAAAAAGAATATTGATCTATAATAAATGCACAATTTATTTAAGGTAATTAAATGGATAAGGATTAATGCTGTATTGTTTAAAATCACTTCGTAAATAACCATTTTTTAGTAAAGAATAAAAATGGTTATGCTGGGTTATCCCTAAGAGATAGACATATACCATCGCGGACTTTTTTGTTGAAATTTTTAAGGTGAACAATACTGTAGTACATTATTTTGGTCTATCTCGTAGGGTTCAGCCAGCGTTTGCAATATAAGCGCAAAAAAACGTGCTTATTTACGACATCACATTAGAAACCTTTAAATTTATCAGTGTTTCTCTACTATATTATGCATTTGTTATACATACAAACCTTCCTTAATAATCACTCTATCTATTAAAAAAAACCGCGTCAAAATCCGTTGCGTAGTTTTAAAGATCTAAGCATACATACGGACATACAGCGAAAGCGACTTTGTTTTATACTATGTATTGATGTTAAGGTCGGTTTAGAGTGCTACAAGGAACAGTAGCCATTTTATTAGAGATCTTTGGTTTGAAAACCGGAAGAAAATTGAAAGAATGCTTCCCAGATTACTACCTTATTTAAATCTGTTAATTGTTAAAAGTATTTCTTGTGAACTATTTTGATTAATCCTTAGAGTGCAAAAACCGTAGGCACTTCTTTGACCTCATATACCGAAAGTCTAAAAATTATTATAATTTATTTTCCGTTGGTTAGTTACATTTTTATTACCTACATTATATTTATAATAACGTAGAATAAGGTAATAAAACCTAAAGCAAGTTATCTAAATCGATTCTTAAAATTATTATTAATACTAATTAGACTTAAATGGTTTGAACTTGGATATGCCAAAAAAATAGCTACGCATAAAGAAAATTCGTGTTATTTTGCACTAAAGACAAAAGTATTAAGCTGAGCTTATTAGAAAGAATGTAGAAAAAGGCTAAGGTGTCTGCGAGCCTACAATACCAGAACCAGATGCATAATGTGATGAAGCTAAATGTATGCAAGAGTCTTCAGTAGATGGCGTTTTATAGTGTTTGTGTACCGCTATAGGACAAAGACATGAGCTTATGTATGTGTTTGTAAAAATATTTACTTTGTACTTTCGTGGGTACAGAACCGTAAACTTATATTCAGAATGTTTTGTTTTAATTTTATATTATTCATAACAGACTATAAACGCCCACTGCTGAGCAAAGCCTCTCCTCACATAGAAAAGGTTAGAGCATTATTCACCACGCTTGCTCAATGCGGGTTGGCGATTTCAAACTTATAAATAGAAATTATAAACCCAGGTTTCCTTACGATGTTTTTCCTTAACCATTTGTCAGTGGTCTCTAGAATCTTAGAAAGTAGTTACATACATAACATAACATCACCCCTTTTTATCCCCGAAGGAGTAGGCAGAGATGCACATTACGGCACTTAATGCCACAGTACAATGTATATATAACTTGAAAAAGTCACATTGGTACTTGCCGTTGGTAGGTTTTGAAGCCGCGCCCTCATGCATGGGAAGCGGGCGTCTTAAATCTATGGGCCACCACGACACTATATATTTATATTATTATATTAAAACAAAATTATTTAGTCTGTGGCCACATCTAATTACACTTCGTGAGTACACATTTGAGTAAGTTGCATGTACTGATTTCCTTTGTCTTTGTTGCATTTTTTACTGTAACGTCGTATCTTGTTATTCTCACACGGTTATACGCTACAGTATTAATAATTACGCAATAGTATACAAAGGTGTAAATTATACAATACTATGTTAAGATAAAACATCCTAAAATAAAATCTTTATACGTGAATCTCGCACAACCGGAGATCTAACCTGGAATCAAAAACTCAGTACTTGGACTTGTCATCTCTTGATCTACAAGGCGGTACACGATGTTTCAAAGATTGGTAAATATTACACATATGATATTAAAATGAAACAAAACAGTATTTTTCAAAACTGAAACTATGTTTCAAAATTATGACTACAAATTAGCATAAACGTTCCACTACGCTGAAAGTCTAATTAGACATCTAGACATAAAACATTACAGCACTTTGAAACTATACATTTGTTAAATGAAATCATTGCTTGCCTCTTGCACCTACCATTTACTCTCTGCATCACCCAAAGGTCAGACTGGTAGAAAATTAAGGCGGCATTAATCCACCTATTTGTACATTTTGTGCATGAAGCATCCTACTAATATTATAAATCGGAAAGTGAGTTTGTTTGTTTGTTCCGATTTTACGCCGTAACTACTAAACCGATTGCTTTGAATTTTTGCAGACGTAAAGTTAGAAGTCTGGATTAAATAATAGGGTACTTTTTATCCCGGAAAAATTTGATATTCCCGAAGGAAAACAAAAGTATTGGTATAGATGGCGCTGTATGTATTGGTATATGTCACATAGGCTACTTTTATCCTTTTGTAACGCGAGCGAAGCCGCGGGTAAAAGCTAGTATTATATAAATAAAAAAAAAAACGTTTTTTTGAGCGGGCGATAATTATCCATTGACTTGTCCTACCTTGTTGGGTGTGGAGATAGTGTCAGACTTTTACTGACTAAAAATTATTCTATTCCTACTCTTTCTTCGACCCGTAGCCCCGGTAACCCGCACGGTCGTCCGCAACTTGGGCATTCACATCATACATTATAATCTGTACAAATAGTACTGGCAGTAAATATCTAGTACAATCAGAAAGTGCAGTAATAACATACTTTCTTCGTCTTGCAGAAACGTCTGCATAATGAGATTATAATTTGCCTTGTAAAAGTTGTAATACTAAAGCTATAAAGATGTATAACGAAGCCAACGAACTAAAACGCGATGTATGTACAATGTACATGCATGTTACAAAAATGTTGGGTTGGTAGAAAGTTTTAGGTTATATGTTTACAAAAGAAATATGAGATTCCACATTGTATTTTGAATATGGTAAAAATATATTGCTTATTTAATTGACTGCCTCATTGGTCAAGGGGTTTCGGGTTCGATTTCCGGGTTGAGCAAAGTATTACTGGGTTTGTAAAAACCTCAGTAGTAGCACGGAGTCTGGAAATGTGCCCGGTATATGGCAATAGGCTCACCCCCTATTTCATAGGACTAATAACATAAATAGTGAAAAGTGGGTGTTACATTGTACAGTGGCATTAAGTGCTGTAATGCGCACCTTTGCTTATCTCTTCGGGGATAAAAGGCGTAATGTTATTTTATGTTATGTTATTTAATTGTCATTTGGCTTCCCCACATCTATAAACTACACTATTAATTATAATTACACTATTAATTATAGGTACACAATTTAATCTTTGAATAAGAAAACATTACAAATAAGTTTCTAATTACACATTTTGGGTTTAAACGGACCCTACATGGGAATCCTTATTAGCGTTTTTAGGGGGGAAACTCATCCAATGACTTCTCCTGCCTTGGGTCTGGGAAGACTAAAAACCTACCCGTGGCTACTCATGCTTCGAGTCGGAACCCCGGTAACCTGTTTTTTAAAGATTGTCCGCAACTTCGGGAATCTTTATTAGCCTTTTTTAAACTGTCAAACACCAAGCGGTCACCGGTGACCGCAATCTATTGTTCTTTAATTGTGTCTATAAATACGGTACTCGACGAGTTAATGGGGGAAAATCATCGAATGACGACTCCCGCCCTTACGGCGTGTCAGACTCTTACTGACTAAAAACCACCCCGTTCCTACTCCTGCACTTCGAACCGGAGCCCCGGTAAGTCCTAAGCGTCTTCGTATCAGCATCAGCCCTACTGAGCTAATGCGGCGAACTACGGCCACTGATGGCAGTGGTTCTTTATTCTTTATGTCTTATTTAATTATGGAACTAAGTCTATAATCACTAACATATAACTGTAGGTAGTGTAATTCCTAAAAACATTCTTCTACATACATAATAATCATCTGTGAAGTATCGGACATCGCGTTACGTACAATATACCTTTCCTGTCTGTTTAGAGTTAATCGTTTATTTTTCGTAGACAATAATTTAAATGCGAAATCTCATACAGAACGATTTATATTGTTTCGATATTTTTTGTTTTATGAGTATTGCTAGTTACATCATGTTTTGTTCATAAATTTATTTAATCTTGTCTATCATTAGCGATTTGCTAACTATGCACCTTTTGTTAGGTAATGTATACAGTATATTACTCATTTTTAAAAGCAATTTTTTTTTCAAAATTATTCATGTTACACAACTATAATTTACTTAATATTTACTGTTATAGAGTTCAGAAATAAGCGGTTATATTTGAATTTAACCTTTTCCTCGAAAACATCATCATCATCATCATCATCAACAGCCGGAAGACGTCCACTGCTGGACAAAGGCCTCCCCCTTAGCCCTCGAAAACATATTTTCTTTAAATCTGGTACTCGTTTCAATTTGTCTACAGAAAACAGGTATCATGAATGAAAAGACTGACAATTACATCAACAACAAATATTTGATATCTAGAACCTCTTTTTTATTGTTATCGGTTACTTTCAAGTATGAAATGTTTTCTGTCCCTGATCTTTGCTTTTTCTATGGGCCTCGTTTTCTATTCGACTTTAGGTTAACCTTGGCTTCAAATAATGAAGACATTACTTTATTATCGTGACGATATAACATTTTGCTTCAAATTGTTTTTTATTTTCATACTACTAAACGCAAAATTTGAATCTCAGCATTTTACAAAGTCAAAGTCAAAGTCAAAGTCAAAGTCAAAGCATTTATTTCAATTAAACCATAGTTTGGTGCTTTTGAAACGTCAACAAATACAAAATAAATAATAGTCTGTCAGTCAGTCCGTCAGTACAACAATTACAACGAATATGAATGCAAAAAATTATGCTGTAGGTACACTACAATGTACTTAGACTAAAAACAAAAAAATGTAGCTAACATTCATATTACTTTTAATAATAATCTCATTAGAGCATTAAATTAACACGTACCAAATACAACTAAAAATGAATCAAAATTTAACAACAGTAACAAACTTAAACATAGCTTGCAACGTGGTCGCAAAAGTATAAATATTGACTGGTATAATATCAGCTGCCAGAAGTTCCACCGGCTTCTGAGACTGACGAAGCATAACGAATACCAGCCTCTTCTCCTTTAAGCCAAAATTCTCCCAACCACAGCAGTACACCGCCCTTGCAAACACCTCCGCAGAATTTATCAACCGCTGACAGAGAAAGCAATATAAGAAGAAAACGAGAGAGCAATACACAAACACAGGCATAAACTGAAGACATTCACGAAGCGGGAGATAGAAGAACAAAGATATACAAACAGCATTTGAACCAAAGTTGACTCCTAAAGGAACACTGTATAGAGACCGCAAATTGTCAACGACATCTAGCGTCAAACAATGGCGTTCTATCAAAGATGATAGTTTCTTCTTCACTTGTCCCAAGTTCTCCTTTTTATAATCATTTAGAGCCATCATTTCATAAGCCATCATCTGGTACATCGCAGCTGTATGAGCTATGAGGAAGAGCAGAAGAGCTTGGTAGTTCAGAGCGACTATGTTTATGGTGAACTCTTGTAAAGTGAGGATGGTCATACATATCTCCCTGTTCGGTGAAGCTGTTAGAGGTTGCAGACCTAAAACAAATTGTATAATTAATGTAGTACATAACATAACATCACAGCTTTTATTCCCGAAGGTTTTTTTTAAGGGAGTAAATCATCGAATGACTTCTTCCGCCTGGGTGAGACGGGAGGGAGTGTCAGACTCTTACTGACTAAAAACCACCCCATTCCTACTATTTCCTACTCCTGTACTTTGACCCGGAGCCCCGGTAATCCGGTAAGTCCTCCGTGGCTCCGTATCGGCATCAGCCCTATTGAGTCCCATCCGTGGTGGTCGGATGGCTCTTTGAGGCGCAGGCGGAACGGCGCTGTACGCTCGGGTCTGATTCAACATATGGTATACGAGTAGCACTTGCAGTTATCATTTTAACACTTTCAGCATTTCCTACATAATAACCACAGATGCGAAAATTAAACCAAAACATTTTGCTCAACCCGGAAATTCCTACACGAGATGCAATCGTGACTAGGAACCATTATGTGTCTAGTGCAATAATTTATTCAGAGACAGAATTAACCAAATGTAAAATACTTTCTCTTCCTTAAACGAAACTGCAAACAAAAGGTAAAGCTACAAGCCAGACATATTGCAAAATTATTTAGCTCATAAGCTACTTGACATATAAACTTAGAATGTCTGAAGCACTGAAATTGATTTAGTGACGAAACAATAAAATAGCATCGTCATGATGACTTAAATTAAATACATTTCATACGTTCATTAACAATGTCAAAAGAAAGAAAAACTGCATTAAAAAATGCAATGTAAGACCACAAACCAGACAAATCGGTTTGGTGAGCATTGTATTATGCAAACTAATGGTAAAGAACTGCATCTTCGTGTAGGAATATTAGGTAATATCGTTATTTCTCGAAAACACTTGAAAGAATATTAAGAATCTGGAACTAAACTAACTAACTGCTATACATATAATATTTTTTTAACCAATGAATAAGTATTCTCGTTGAAATTATCACAAATACCTAATCAATATTATCATGTCATATTTTTGTTCCACAAAGCCAAAGATACTCTAGGGGGCAAAATCCTGCGCCACGTGTCGCCAGCGACGTCGGGTTTTTTTTTAAGGGGGAAAATAATCGAATGACTGCTCCCGCCTGGGTGAGGCGGGAGGGAGTGTCAGACTCTTACTGACTAAAAATCACCCCGTTCCTTCTCCTACACGTCGAGCCGGAGCCCCGGTTACCCGTTAGGTTCTCCGCGACTCCGAATCGGCATCGGCCCTATTGGGCCCCATCTGTGGTGGTCTGATGGCTCTTTGAGGCGCGCGCGGAACGCGACGCGCCGTACGCTCGGGTCTGTTTCTGGTCGGACGGGGAGCCACCCATGCTCGCCGTCCGCAGGCCCGCGCTTACGGTGGCCGGAGATCGTCCCGCGATCCCCGACGCCCGTGTTGCGAGAAGATAGCGCTTCGCTGCCTCACGCGTCCCGCCTCCTCCTTAGCTACCTATTTCGCAAAAGGAGGAGACGGCATCCCAGTCCCCCTCGCTCCGCATCATGGCCTGTACTAGGCCCGGACGCGAGAGGTCGCCATCGCCGATCACTTCCCTGAGGGCACGGCGGTGCTCAACCCACGCAGGGCATTCCGCTACTGTGTGTTCTACCGTGTCCTCAGGGCGGTCCTCGCAGTGATGACACCTGGGCGTTTCCTCCCGCCCCATCAGACACAGGTACCTCCCGAAACTTCCAAGTCCGGTGAGGACCTGCGTCAGGCGGTAGGTGAGGACGCCGTAGCGTCTCTCAAGCCACTCCTCAAAGAGGAGTCTTACCGCTGCAATGGCAGCAAGCCCAGCGACGTAGGGTGAAGTAGCGCAACGTTGCCGGTCTTTGGTCGACATGTTTGGCAACATCTACGTCACTGTGGACATAAGTTGCGCGTTGTCACCGTATATGTCAGGTGACATCGGCCAGCTTCGCTCGACATATAGCCGATACATGTCGTGCGACATTTATCTCCTAGTGTATCCTTCGCTTAATACGTACATTTAACAGACAACAAGATATACTTACCAACACAAGGTGTCATAGAATAATTGTTCCGTAAATCGACTCTGTGTGGAAAATATATAAAAAAGGCATCAATATAGTTAAATCCGTAGAAGATTAGAACGATACGTTTAACAATCTTCATCAATTTCTCGTGTTTTCGCATCAAAAAGCTGGATCTTCGGGACAGTTCATCACTTTGTTCTATTTTCTTTAGAACTGTTCTTAATAGGGGTCTGCAATGAAAATTTCAATTAACAAAACAGTATAATCGATTCAATAAATATTAAATAAAAATGATAATTAGGCGAATCACATCTCTATACATTTATAAATACTCGTAATTTAACATGACAGACGAACCTTTTTTGTTCGACGTTTAAAGATCTAGCAAAACCGTCGGATATAATGGTAGGAGCTTGAGTTATAAAGAAGAGTTCAACATAAAATTACACATAACATCACGCCTTTTATCCCCGAAAGGGTAGGCAGAGGTGGACATTATGCCACTGTACAATGTGACAGCCACTTTTCATTATTAATGTTATGAGTCCCATGTAATAGGGGGTGAGCCTATTGCCATATACCGGTTACAATTCCAGGCTCCATGCTACTACTGAGAATTTTTTTAAAACCTAGTTCAAACATGAGTTCTAATAAAGAGTTATATTATATTTGTATATTTGATGGGCCGACGTTTGACCACTATCTCACCTGGTGGTATGAACGACTATAAATTTGGAAGTATTAGTTTTAAACAAACAGTCAAACACAAATATAAGGTAAGCTAAATAAAAAATAGTCACAGTACCTTTGTTTGACAAACCACACACTATTGTTGCCAATAATGACGATGATAGAGATGTTAACATAGCTCTTGATGAAGTCACCAGCGCCGTGAGCGAACTTCCATTGATACCAGAAGTTACCGACGGCATACACGTAGAAGAGAAGAAACATGTGGATGTACCAGAACCATGCTACAAAATTATTATTTTTACAATCGTTTCTATTGGGGCAGTTGGAGCTAAACTACTTTAAATATTAAAATCCCAAAAATATTGAAAAAAACTAAATTACAATTACCCTTTGCACAGTCGTAAAAGGAGACAAATACTATTTTTATTTAAAAATCTTTATTTTAAGACAATATTTAATTTTAATTAATGTTCTAAATAAGCATTCAGGACATGATTCTGTTCCTTAACACAAATAGTTAATGAATATTCTATTAAATCACATTTGAGTATTATGACTATTTCAATTTTTCTTGTACGTACCTGAAACTTTATCCTTCCTGTAAGAAAACCCAGAAATTTTTGGAACTATATCTACCAACCACAGGATACTATCATAACTATTCTCTTGAATACGACGTTTCATATACAAAACTAGTTTCTTTAAACCATTTATCAAGTTCATTGTGAAGCCAATTTCATTACGAGAGCAAGTAATCAAACTTGGACACGGATTCAGATTTTATACAATCAAAAGGTGAAAATTATAACTTAATGACATGAAATTAAAGATAGTTTTAGCTTGGAATAATTTATTATCTTATAGACTAACTTATTTTGTGTCTGTGCTTGTAACATTGCCTATCCAAAAAACTACTGTTTTCCTTAAAGATATGCTGGTAGTTATATAATTTAAGTAAGAGCATTACATCAACTGTGTAATCATTGCGTTGGTCTAGTTTTTTAAGTGACTCTTGTTCATTGTACACTAATAGATATCTGTCAGACAAAAGTATCACTCGATGATGGCTCGGCCGATATCAACAATTTTTTTTTCCTTTTATTTGCTTTTAGTTTTTTGTTTGTAGTTAGTAGGCCAGTGTTCAATTTTATTTTGAATCAATAAGGAAAACCGTGAACTGAACTCACGCTTAACTAATACTTTTGATCAAAGTCAAATAGCGTCGTGAGTTTTTTATAATAATAATAGTTAAGATTTATTACAAAAGATACATAATAATATTTAGTACTTACTATTACGAATTCTATTTTTATGACATATAAAATATGTGTTTAGAATCTTGTAAGCCTAAGGACTCATGGCGCGAATTTCTCCCGCGCCTACTGCGTTTGCGGGCCCGCAGTCTTTGTAGAATACAGAAGGAGAAGATCATGTCCTGAGTCTTTAGCCTAATACGTTACACTACCTTACAAAATACGCAGCATTTGTAAGCAACAGAGGCCGAGACTGCATGATTGATCTCATCTGATATGACCATATGTACAAACTGCATACTTGATGTAATAATAACCGTAACTTCATATAAAACGAATGTCTTAAAGAGACAAACGTACAACAGAATATTATTTAAAACATTATAAAAATACCCATCATAAGTATCCAAAGGAAACTTTAATTAAAAATTAAACCTCATTCATTAAATTCAACACCTTACATTATAATGGCCGCTAATTGTAGGCTTTGTGATGCTCACATTTACGTATATGTGAGTGAGGAACATAAAAAAAATATTTCTGAATAGTAAACTTGAAGGTGAAACCTAGGTATATGTAGTTTTAATTAAGATACACCTTTTTTAAAAACGAATAGAAAGGTGAGAGTACATCCAACCTTTATCATCTAATGAATCTAATCAAGCTAATACTCAATTCTGTACTAAACTTTAAATATAGTGACAAACTTGTAAATAGACTGCATAGTGCTCGCGAAAGTGTGGATACGTATCGGAATCACTCGGGCAGCGTACACTATGACCGGTTTCTGAGCTTGTTTCAACATCAAAAGCACTTGTCTCCGCTCTTTCACACGCAAATTCTCCCAACCGCAACAGTACACTGCCATTTCAAACTTTTCCGATGCTGTTGTAAGTCTCTGTCCTTGAAAACAATACAAGAAAAATATGAAAAGACTGTGGTAAATCAGCGGAGCGAAGTTGAGACAGACATCTAAAGGCAACACGAAGAATAAACACATAGAAATGGCGTCCAAACCGAAGCCAATGCCTATAGCTACACTGTATATGTCTTCTAATTTCCTGACCGTATGCAAAGCTAAGACATGACGAAATACAATGTTCTTCAGACGATCTTCTACAACGTAATACGTTTCATGAGATTTTGAAATATTGGCAAATTCTGTCATATCTTGATAAAGGATTTGAAATACAGCAGTTGTGTGAGAGAACAGAAACAGTAAAGCCACATCATAACTGCAAACTGCTACGATAGCCGTCAGTTCTTGAAGCGCTAACACTACCATGCAAGCTTGGCGATTTGGGCTGCTGGTCAGCGGTTCCATACCTTGAACAAGAAATGATATTGTAAAAATAATATCTTATAAGATAAGTTAGATGTTATGTTCTAATTTACATACCAACACAAGAGACCGTAGAAAAATCGTCCATCCCAATCGTCCTGCTAGGTATAAAAATCATGACATCATTTACAAAATGGAACATGTAACACATGATCACAATGATTTTTATGCTCTTCATTAGCTTCTGGTGCACATCTTGAAACCTGCCAGACTCAATGATTAGATCATCGTTTTTCTTCACCATTTTCAAAAGATCATTTAAATCGTTTCTGCAAATAACATAAAATACTATTTAATACTTATCTATTTCCTTCTTGGTCCGATCCAAATGTTGGACTGTCACTGTATTTTAATATAATTTGAAAGAACGTCAGACCTACCTGACCTACGACGGACCAACAATGGTTCGAACCATTGCCAGAATTTGAGGTTACTTACCCGAATATTTTTTAATTAGGTGATTAAATTAACAGTAAGGAACGTTCTAAGAAAACATGAAGTATTCAGGTCATTACATAAAACTAGAAAAATCTGCTGGATTGGGTAAAAGTATTTGGAAATCAATATTAACTAAGGATAAGCCAAACTTACCTTTTACTGATCAACCACCAGCTGTCATTTCCGATGAGGATAAATACCGAAATATTGAAAAAGCTGTTGATTGAGTCCACAAAGTCCTCGGCAAAGTACGTCTGGTACATTGCTGTACCCAGGAGATATACGTAGAATAGAAGGATTGTGTGGACTATCCAAAAGAAAACTGCAAAAATATATGTTGCTGTAGTACGGCACACGTTTTATTATTTAGTATAAAATAATATTTAGTAAAAGTTATGCCTGGTGCTATTTGGTGGACCAAACTGTTCCTTAAAAAGTGTACTTACATTTAAACTTTTGACTTAATAAAGGAAAACCAGCAAGATTTGGCAAAAAATTAATAAGCCAGACTAAATTCACACATGAGTTTTGTTTTAAACGATCTCTTATATTAAGGAGTCGACCACGAAATGTGTTCACCATTTTAGCTGACAAACCTTTGACCGTTCTCAACGAGGTAAATGCGAACAATGTAAAATTTATAGTACAACGCAATTATATCGCAACTTAGAAAGTGATTATGAATTGAATAAATAACAAGTCTTGTTAGTTGCATCGGAAACTAATAAGGGTGACAGCTATGTCATTAAACCCTTACGTGAATTGAAGTTAGGTGTTATACAGAATAATAGAGGCGCTAATCACTAACTAAGACGATATAGAAATTATACGGGGCTAATTGGATATAAATTCAATAAAATTTCGTACCCCTCAAACGCTGCTGCACGGTTTGATCGCACTAACTTTCAAAAGAGTACCTGCGAAGATATGACACAAACAAAAATGAAAAAGAAATTATTTCCATTTGTTTAATATTTCAATATTTGTCAATCGAATAGATAGTATCGACCTTGCTGCATGAAAAATACAGGTTTAATTCATATACATAGTTCGAACAGTCAATATTATAGGATCGTTTGCTTTTCATGTTTTACAATAATTTTCCTTTTTCTTATTAACTGTCACACGAACTCTTTAGAGAAAATGATAATTTAAATAATGATGATAATTAAATGATAATTATATCACATTTGCGATTTTCTGTATGTATAAGTATGATACCTTAATTTCCAGTTGATTAGAAAAATTTATAATAACTTTAAATTTATCCTATTGTTTATATTCCAGAATTAAAACAAAAACACCCTGTTTTTCACTTCACCGTAGTCAGATAATAAACCTTAAGCGGTAAAACCAATTTCGAAATGTACGTTTATAAACAACTATGCAGTGTATAAAGCTAGGAAATTTTATGCATGCATAAATAATAATGCCGTCAATAGTTAGATGCGTTTAAGGTTGCATGACGAGGCAATAAGCTTCTTATAGCACTTTCAAGTTGTAAATTGCACCATGTGACATATTTATCAGAAGTTGCATTTGTGTCTTCAATCTTCTTCCTGATAAATAACTTTTATATCTACATCTACACTTAATAACTTAAGCTTCACATGTATCCTTTTTTTTAAGGGGGGAAAAACATCGAATGACTGCTCCCGCCTGGGTGAGGCGGGAGGGAGTGTCAGACTCTTACTGACTAAAAACCACTCCGTTCCTTCTCCTGCACGTCGAGCCGGAGCCCCGGTAACCCGTTAGGTTCTCAGCATCAGCTCTGTTGGGCCCCATCTGTGGTGGTCTGATGGCGGTTTGAGACACGCGCGGAACGCGACGCGCCGTACGCTCGGGTTCACATGTAGCCTGCTGTTATTAGCACAATAGAATTAGATGTTTACAACAACAACATAACATCACGCCATTTATCCCCGAAGGGGTAGGCAGAGGTGCACATTATACCACTGTATCATGTAACACCCACTTTTCACTTTAATAGTGAAAAGTGGGTGTTATGATTATGAGTCCCATGTAATAGGGGGTGAGCCTATTGCCATATACCGGGCACGATTCCAGACTTCGTGCTACTACTGAGAATATTTAAAAACCCAGTAATCCTTTGCCCAACCCGGGAATCGAACCCGAGACCCCTTGTCCGGAAGTCGCACTTACGACCACTCGGCCAACGAGCAATTAGATGTTTATCCAAATAATAATCTACTTCGCACTAGAACCTATACCCTTCGACGTCAATATCGTATAGATATCGACGTCACGTCGAAGGGTTCCAATTATATTGAAGACATTTAATTAAGATTTTCAGCTTTTTCTACCCTAAGATGGAAAATCCTCTTTTTTTAATCCCAAAATACCCTCAAGTTCCTACGCAAAACGCCGGCAATGCACTTGTAACGCCTCTTGAAATGATTTTTGAATTAATTCAATTTTTTTATTAGGTAAACCGGTAAACGAGCAGACGGATCACCTGATGGTAAGCAATCGGCGTCACCCATGGACACCTGGAACACCAGAGGCGTTACAAGTGCGTTACTGGCCTTTTGGGATTAGGAATTTGAGGATTGTTGGGAACTCAGGGATTGGGAAAGGGAGGGAGGGGTAATTGGACCTCCGGTACTCCGGCCTCCTCACTCACGCGACGAAACACAATGCAAGCGTTGTTTCACGTCGGTCTTCTGTGAGTGCGTAGTATCACTCCAGTCGAACCGGCCCATTCGTGCCGAAGCATGGCTCTCCCACGCTTAAAAATGGAGTCGCCTCGCCTGGGGAGAGTGAAAGGGACTGTCAGACTTAAACTTACACAATATTCCGTCTCACACGTGGGTACGAGAGTGTGTGAAAAACATTCCTAAGCAACAACTGACCTAAATAAATTAAGAGAAAATTATTCACTCAAATAAATTTACAATTAATGTAAGGAGCTACTAAATTGTAGCACATAACATAACATTATGCCTTCTAACCCCGAAGGGGTAGGCAGAGGTGCATTACACCATTGAATGCCACTGTAACATGTAACACCCACTTTTCACTATTTATGTTATGAGTCCCATGTAATAGGGGGTGAACCTATTGATATATACCAAGCACATATTCAGAATCCGTGCCACTACTGAAAATAAAGAACCCAATAATTTTGCCTGGCATTGGCACTTGCGACCACTCAGCCAACGAGGCAGTTAATAAATTATAGCACCCATAACAATTATTCATAAAAAATCACAACGTCTTTTTATTATTATTTTTGACAATCACAACTGTATTAAAGCTCTATCTATGTTACATTCATTGAACTGAGTTTGACGCTACAAAATCCAATTTTAAGTGTCATCACACCGTTGCAAAGACCACGTTCGCGTACCGTTACGCCAAGTAGTTCTAGATTCCGTTAACAGATGGCGGTGTAATACAAAAAAGGAAAAACAAATATTTTTAAATCACATGATAACAGAAGGTCATCAGCTCTAGACCGTACATAATTTAATATAGTCGCATCGAAAAACAGGTTTCGCGTTTACACTTTATTTACGAGTGATTTGTTCCAAGAATTGTTGAAGTACATACCTAACGTCTTGACGTCTGAGAATGTCTTATTGTCTGTAGGATCATTACAATAAAATAAATCATAATTTTTTGTTACTTGTTTCATAAAACATTGCATAATACCTAGTTTCTTGATAGCAAGGTTGTGTTTGCCTACTTAAATGCTTGCTTGAACATATTCTAACATTCAAACAAGCCTTTCCGCATGTTTTTCCTCGACCCGATGCTGAATGATCTTATTGTATCTATGTTTTATTTTCTGATTCATTTTGTTTTTTTTTTTTTTGTATAAAACATGCTGCCAAATGCTGAATTATCAAATATTGATATATTCTGCTTGATATAGTCTGCTGATGCAGACAATCTATTTCGACAATCTAATTGCAATCCAGCAGCTGTAGCCAAATGCCACTTAGCGCTTGTCTACATGTAGAGTAGAAAACCAAATTATATGGAATTGACGTAAATTTTGACACTTGTCAGTGTCATCCCCATACATTTTGATTTCTACTCTCACTGTAGACAAGCGCTAAATGGCATTTGGCTAGCACTGCAGGAATCCTACTCAGTCGAACGTGGCGAATACATGGCTAGTCTTTATAAGCACTAAACATCTTCCAATTGATAATGCTGAACTAAAATTGTTAACCAAAACTTCCGATCCAGTTACGATCATTACTAATAGCCAGCCATATATGCATTTATTTAATTAAATGAAAAACTAAACGTATTTATTTCGTCTCGGGTTCGATTCCCGGGTCGGGCAAAGTATCACTGGGTTTTTAAAAAAAATCTCAGTAGTAGCACGGAGTCTGGAATTGTGCCTGGTATATGGCAATAGGCTCACCCCTATTACATGGGACTCATAACATAAATAGTGAAAAGTGGGTGTTACATTGTACAGTGGCATAATGTGCACCTCTGCCTACCCCTTCGGGGATAAAAGGCGTGATGTTATGTTATGTTATGCTAAACGTATTGAGGAAAATTGCCAAAAAGCAACCGCTTTAAACTGCACAAAATGAATTTAGGAAATTCCCTATGACGACATTTGCAGATCTTTAAAATAATTTCAATGTACTTAAAACTAATAAACGAAATAATTACTTTACGTTACTAATGGCCTAACTGTCAACGTTCTGTCACATGAGTCTGAAAATCGCAATTCTGAGGATTTTCCCCTCGCATCGTTATAAATGCATACACAACAGTAACATTTCGAATACCGACGTCTTCGTAAGTATATCCTTCGCTATAAATAGGATCGTACTGGAGATGACAACAGAATAAAATGCAATTTTATACACTGCAGAGGCATTAGCACGAGTTTGTTTGACATTTAAAGTAATCGAAACGAGACCGCGTTCAACGCTTTGATTGGACAGCTCCAATGAACCAACCAATCAGAGCGCTGCAGATGCCCATCGAGTAGTACGCGATGGTACATTTGTAGGCAATAAACTGAATTCATATAGAAAGCATACATAGGTTAGGACAAAACGCTTCTTTCGCTTTTTAATAATCGTTTAAATAGGTATACCTACGTTTTGTCGATTTTGTTGTAAGACACTGAGTATGCTATTTCATGCGACATTTTATGTTTATTTAGAGCAGGACATAATTAATGTGCATTTACAATTCATCATCATCATCATCATTATCAGCCCGCATTGAGCAAGCGTGGTGATTAATGCTTAAACCTACTCCGTGTAAGAAGAGCCTTTGCTCAGCAGTGGGCATTTATAGGCTGTTGATAATGATTATCACCCATATACCAGCCCACTGAGCTAAGTCTTCAGCTCTTCTCATCCAACCACTGCCAGTCACCTTGCAGATGGCGTCACTACACCTAGCTGAAGGGCGCGCTACACTACGTTTGCCTAGACGCGGTCTCCACTCTAGAACAAGTTTACCCCAATTATTATAGAAGTATTTAGATTTATTGATTTGTATTAAACTCGGAGTCATCCTACTGATACCCTACGGTGAAAAACAAGTTACACCACTGTTACAAAGATTTGCCTTCATCACTGCACGCTTCTTAAATATACGCCATACGAAGCGCGGTAAAA